GGGCGGGTCGGCCCGGCACACGCCCCCCCCCCCCGGCGCTCTCGGACCCCCTCCCGCGCGCCGCTCTCTCGCCCCCCCGGCAGCATGGGGATGTGCTACAGCCTCCGCTCCGGGAGAGACCACCTGCCCGTCCCCGCCTATCCCGCAGGCGGAGACGCGCCGGACCTGCAGGAACGCAGCGCCGCTGGCGGTCCGGCCGTGCGAGCCGCCAAGGAGAGCAGCAAAATCAAAGAGAAAGCGGATCGGAAGCGCAGCAAAAGCATCGACAAGTCCCTGAAAGCCGAGAAGAGGGAGTACAAACAGACGCACAGGCTGCTGTTGTTGGGTGAGAGCGAGCCGTGCGGGGAGGTACCGGTGGGTCGTGCGTGGCGGCGGCGGCTGGGTGCGCGGGCCGTCGGGGCGAGCAGCTTGGCTTCCGTCTCCGAACTCATCATCTACCTTTATACCTCACGGCACCCCCAACCTGGCGCCCTCTCGACGCGTTGGGTTGTAGCACCCGTCCCCCTCGGCCACTGCGGCAGGGATGGTCACAGGTGTAGCTCACGACGCCTCGAAGGCGCCACCTGTTTACCTTGTTTTTTCCCGCCTTTCTTTGCTTGCAATTCAGTTTTCTCCTCCTCCCCCCCCTTCTCTGGCTCCGAGGCCGGTGCCACATCAGACAGGAATCTCACTGTGCAAAGGGACGTTCTCTCCTTCGGCGTTTGCCTGTTGTGGGGTCGATATTAATATTGCTGGCGTTCCTGTTCCCTAACTCTCCCCCCCCCCCCGCATGTACACGCGAACTCCAAGACGTTTTGCAAAGACGATCCGGAAAAGGGAGGGTTCCGCTTATGTCCGAAAATTTGGGGGCCATAAAGAATGCTGTTGTTGCAACACGACTTTCTCCCGCCACACCCACGCGAAGGGGTGTCTCCGTGATCAGTAACTGAAAGAGTAGAGGATGATTAGCGCAGCCTACCCCCTTTAGGGCCACGTGGCCGGGAGGAGGGGAGTTGCCCCGGGACGCAGCTGGGGGGCGCCGGGTTGGGGAAGGTTCAGCTTAGCTGTTCAGAAAGTAACGCAGTGGATGATTGGCTAGGTTGCCTCTGGAGAGCGGCTGAAATCTAGAGACAGGAAGAGCTGTTGCCGGTCGCCTTTCCTTCTGCAGCGCCCGTGGGGATGTTCGGAGGGAGCGTGGCTTGAAGGAGGGCGACCTGGGCCGCCCGGAGTCCTTGGGAGTCGGGCGGCGCACAAATCAAATCAAATCTCAGAGGGAGAAAGGTTTTCTCTTGAGATCCACGGAGAGCCCTGGTGTGTGTTGGCAGTTGCTTCCTCCAGACTGGTGAAGTTGCTTCTTATGAAACGCTTTAATGGTTTATCTTGAATTAAAGCCTAGGGAGAGGAACTTTTCACCCCCTTTCCTCCCTGGCTCTGAGCGCCTCCGTGTTAGGAAGGAGCTAAACCGTGATTCCTCTCCCTTCTTGCTGATTATGAGGATCTGGGTGGGAATGGATTACAGTGATTATGAAAGGCAACCCTGCATTTTTCTCCTAATCTTTGCCAAAACATCTTTGAGTGGATACTAGAAGGCAATATCTGTAGCTCAGGATTGGACTGTGGAGTCCTTGATGCTCTCTGAGCACGGTTCTTTGCTTGCAGACATTTCGTTACCCAACTAGTAACATCAGTGCCAGTGAGGGTGGGCTTTGCTGCCTGTTTATATATACAGGTAGTCCTCGCTTAACAACGGTAATTGAGACCAGCAACTCCATCGCTGTTATAAAGCCATTGTTAGGCAAATCCCGCCTGATCACAGCATCCCCCAATCACGTGATCGCCATTTATGACCTCCTGCTGGCTTCCCCAGTGACTTTACTTGTCAGAAGCCGGCAGTGAAGATTGCAAATGGTGGGATGTTGTGACTGTCATAATTGTGATCCAGTTGTCAAGTGCCCAAATCACAATCACGTGACTGCGATGGCTGCAACTAGGAGGAACGGTCATAAGTCCCCTTGTTCAGTGCCATTGTAACTTCAAACGGTTGCTGAATGAATGGTCACTGAACAAGGACTACCTATAGTATCTTGCCCTGACAATTTTGGTGGGGGCATGCAAGCTACTATATATATACAGGCAACAAAACCCACAGGCAGCAAACAGGCAGCAAAAAAATTTATAACAGATTGCTGGGTCCTCATTGTATCATATGATTCATGTTAAAGGCCCTTCATTTTCATAATGAAAACAGTTAATATGAATTATGTTCTTCATATTAAATTAAATTTATTTGCTCTCTCTATTTCATTGTTTGCCAGTATCAATCAGCCTAGCGTAGCTTAAGATACATAATCTTGGTTTCGCTTAAGCTAAGCAGGGCTGGCCTGGTTAGCACTTGGATGGGATATCACCAGCAAATCCCATTGGAACAGACTGTTACCCTAAAGCAGTGTTTCTCAACCTCAGCAACTTTAAGACGTGTGGGATTTCTTACCCCCCCACTTCCCCCACAGCATGGGGGGATTTGTGATTGGAAAGTCAATCCCCTCTAAATTGTGGTGGGTGGGGAAAAAGAGATCA